TCGAATGTTCAGTATCACCCAATGTTTCGACAAAAATTCCGGATGCCATCGTCAGGGTAAATCTGTACTACACATAATACAAAACAAAGATTCGTTTCTTTGTAACTGTGTAACACTGCAAGATAACATTATGGAAGTCTCTAACTTGCGTCCCATAAATGATCACTTTATATCTACAGCTTTCCTAAGTGAATACGTTTAAGTAAACACACAATTTCGCCCTACAAGGATCCAAATCTCAATCATCTATCCTTTGGCCAGTCACGTGACTAAGCTAAGTTACTACGCTACTCCGGCAACACAAATCGAGATCTATCAAAGAAAATCTTTACACTTAAGACAAAATAACACAACACAACATCTAAGGTAAGACATTTGAATCACGTAAGTCAATCACGGAGACACGGCAGGTGTAAAAACGAATAAATTCGTGTTTGGCATCGAGGAGTATACATACTGTGTCGATCTTTAAAAAAAACAAAACAATTTCCCTGATTAAATGGTCATGGCCCACGTAACGATGTGTTTTTCTACGTGGCATCCATACCGAATAAGTTTTCTCGCTGTTATAAATATCCATTCAATTGTATTAAGGTCTCTAAGTGACAGGATACCTTTGTTTGCAAAGTATATAAAATAAAATAAAAAAATCTCCAAACACAGAGTCTGTCGACAATATTTCAATATTAATGAGATTTATTTTTTACGTTCTTGCTGACAAGATTCCACTGCCATTTTCTTGGCAGACGCAATTCTCCGGCATTGACAGTTTATATGTGGGCAAACTCTCCAATGACAGTAAATTCTATAGTTAGCGCCACGGATTAAGCCTAAGATAAGTGCCCTTAAGTTACGTTGTCTATTATCAGGCGTCGAAACGGACACACAGACTTCTGCTGTAGAGTTTCTGAACCAGGTAAACGAGTTATCGGTAACAAAATTAAACCAGCTTTAAATTACGAAACATGAGGATATTAGAAAGTTTCGATGAATGAATGTTTATAAATAATCATTTTTCCCCCCAAGGGCATATTAAATAAATTCCGACAGTTAAATAAACATTTCAGAACAATAAATTATACTTAACTCTGTTTATGTAAGTGAAATTTAATTTGTCAAATCACATTGATAAAATTCACAAATGCAAATTGATGCAATTAAAAAGCAAGTTATGTACAAGTTTATTAAACCAATATAATTACGGAGTTAAGAATCATAATCTATTAGCGACACTGAATTTATTCCAAGAGGTAATACATATTTATGTTATTGTTAATTATTGTAAAATTTGCGATTCCTTAGTACAGTATTTGGAATTATAATTAGACGCTTTGAGAAACCTGCAGAATAGAATTCAAAATACAATACATAAAACCTAAAAATAAATCTGTACTGCTCCCCCAGTATTGTCAGAGTGATTAAGTCGAGAAGAATGAGATGGGCTGGGCATGTAGCGCGCATGGATGGGACAAGAGGTGTTCACCGGTTACTGGTTGGGAAACCTGAGGGAAAGAAACCGCTGGGGAGACCTAGACGTAGATGGGAGGATAATGTCAGGCGGGATCTGTGGGAGATGGGGGTTGAAGGAGACTGGATTTTGGTGGCCCAGGACAGGGTCCGGTGGAGGGCTTTGGTTAATTCGGTGATGAACCTTCGGGTTCGGTAAGCCATCTAGTTAGTTAGTTAGTTAGTTAGTTAAGATCTAAAAATTCCAAAGGCGTTCTTTGCGCCATACAGCGGGCGATGAAGTCAGCAAGACAGCCAGGGGAATAACAAATGCAACAATACGAAGCCAACAATTGTATCCAAGGTTTTTGTTGCAACAATGCGATCCAAGGTCATTGTTTTAATAATGTGATGAAAACCAAGACAGGCAGAAAGTCAGACAAATATTAACGATTCCGTACGGTATTTTTCGCTTACGTCAAATCGTAAAAAAAGAACACTTTAAAATACATGAAATAATATTTACATTTCAACAAACTCAATCCATACACCTGAAATTAGATGCGTTAAATCAAACATGTCATTCGATTACAATAGTACAAATGCTTACTGAGTATCATTAACGATATATTATAGATATACAGAGCTTGTATCTGACCTTAGATGCGGACGGAAATATCCTGCAGATTCTGTGTCAGTCAGATCTGTAAAAAAAAATAAAAGATTTCAAATCAGTCCAACAAAAATCACGTGATCAAAAACTCGGGATTACTGTGTTAATCCGACGTTTATCAATAAACACTGTGCGCTGTACAAAGACTGCTTTCTCTTTTAAGCATGTTGATTTAAACCGAATTTATCAAACTGGAAAGGAAAGTTAAAAGAAAGTAAACGTAAGAAATAAATTCAAAATTAAAGGTCGAAGAGAGCACAGTAAAGTAATGGAGAACAAAATTAGAGAATAAAATGCGTAAACAACGTGAGATAGAAGGAGGGGACAAAAGGAGAAAAAGAATAAAAATAAAGATAAAGAAATACTTAAAGACAGTATTAATCAACTTAAAACTTATTTCGTTATGTAAGAACTTACAGGGCATTACATTGAATTCATAAGTTAGTTTTAGTCCTTACAGACTTTGCCATGTTTGACCTCCGATCGTACTCAAGTCACGTTTAATTATCACTGACAGCCATCAAAGATTAATATTACAGAACACGCGAATCATCGGTCATTTGGCGCTCCCATAAGGCTACAAGTTGTCCGGCCATCACAGGATTTTTTTTTTACTCCATACTTAAAGAATAAACATTAATTTAATTCTATGGTAAAAATTATAAACATCAATACTATTTTTTTATATATTTAACAATTCATATTATTAAACAGGATAATATTTGTCCGGATAATTTATGTTATATAAAATATGGTGGGAGTCTAACATGAATAAATTAAATTCTGTATAATGTTGGCGCTTTAACTTGACAGTAATTATAAAGTTATGCATTTATGTGTTTAATAAGTTCTGAAAACTTAACTGAAATAACTATTATTATTTTAACGGCGATTATAAATGTTCACGGCTAACTTTCAGTTATAATAGACCCGATAGCACTGAAGTAAGTGTAGAACACTTTCTCTTACATGATATTAATTTAATATTAATGTAAATTGTCCACTGGATTAGGTGGCATTTCTTTTATTCCCAGATATAAATGAGCATTACATCACAGAAATACTTGGCAAGTAATATATATATATATATATATAGAGGTCAAGGAAGAGAGGAGCTATACCTCCACTCCCCCCAAACGCCTACATGGCGTATAGTGGGACAAACTTTACTTATATATATATATATATAATTTCTCTCATTTTATTTATTAGATTACATGTTATGAGTCAGCTTCCGTAGTGCAGATACAGAAATACATTAATCAAAATGTAAAGGACTCCAATGTAAAGCCACACTCAAGTTCCGAACATCTTCACTAATTATACAGGCATAAACACGTGTATAAGCTGACGGTGTTTAATTTCTTACTCGTTGCTTGCAGAAAGGGAAACGTGGATGACAAAAAACATACTCTACGATAGCAGTAAATTAACATAGTCAAGATGTAATGCGCGTTTGCATCTTTCGGCAGAAGCTTTTAAACTGTCTGGTTGAGAAATGCTTGCGAAAAAGATACCTAACTTCTCATAAAATCATCGAGATGGCTTACTAGATTTTTTTTTAAATACGATTTGTTTGATAACAAAACGATAGTATTAACTGTTCGGGATCAATAGAGTGACTTAAGTTACAAAATAAGCATTTTCGTTGTGTGATCAAAATTATTGTAAGTTACGTCATTAACCGATGCTATAATCACCAATGAAAGCGAAAACCCAGATATCTTTCCATGAAGAATAACGTGTAATCGTATTAAATTTTTACAACTTTTAACTAAAAATTATTAGGACGATCGAACTAAGAATAATACAGGCTGCCATATTTGTTATGCACGAGAAGGTGAAAGATACATACAAAATTTTAATCGTTAAATATAAAACGAAAAGACAATTCTGGAAACCCAGACGTAAAAAATGATAATATTAAAATTTATTTTATTCAAATCGGGAGTGAGGGTGTAGAGTGGATTCAACTGGATTAGCAGAATGGAGTCCTGTAGTAGGCTTTTGTGAGCAAGGTGCTGAACCTTCAGGGTTTATGAAGGAGTAGGAATATATCCCTATTGCGAGTGTTGGTCTTCTAGCTTGTAATATCGGCTGGACTTGTAGGTAGATGTTAATCTTCATTTCCAGGGTAGAATTTAGAAAGACGATAATTTCCAAAAAGTTTACAAGCTGTCACAACGCAGAATAACACTAACCATAACATCGCCGCCTGTTAAATCTTCAAGTCTTATGTAGTAATTACGGATACTTTAAAGTACATAACTGATTCTGAAATACCCTTTACGTAACGTGCGTCAACCTGGTATATTAAGATGTCTACTTGCGATTTCACCATTCACTGGGTCATCTCTGGGTTCAAGGTGTCTACAAACGTAGTCGCTTAAAATATTCACGCATTATTACTTCAATTTTTTTTCGGTCGGTTGGTAATTCCTTCTTCTTTCGTTGCCATAAACAAGGGACCTCAGGGAAGCACAGATGAGAGCCAGTAAGATGACAGACAAAGATCAAATAGGAAGTAGCAGTCCACATTTATTTGGATAAGATACGGGAAAATAAAATATTCTAAACGAAATAAAAGAAAGTATTTCCGAAATTTAATCACCATTTATCTCTACGTAAATTTAATTTTGGTTTCAAATAAAAATAAACTTTGCTGTTTCAAATAAAATAATCCTCACAAAGAAATTACTTTCCTTTCATACTACAACGTAATGTCTAACGCAGAATTATCAGCACATACGTGGTCTTTCGCGTCTTGTCTGGTTGCATATCAACATTTCGGAAGAACATGTTTCCTCCATCTTCATGGCTAAAAGTGAATGCAACATAATCCTCCGAAATGTTGGTACAAAACCAGCGTATTTCATAGAGCAGAAATCCACGGGAACAAATATTCAAACTCACACAACTTTAAAAACCTCAAAACCTACAGCAAATGTGAATATTAAACATGTTAATGAGTATAATTAATTGGGAATTTTTATTAACTTATCGGCAAACAGTGTAATATAGTTCAGTCAAAAATATTATATTACTATCGAAATGTCTACAACATCTGATGAAAAAAGAAGCAGATCTTGGTCGAGACAGCCTGTTACAGCCGGAGCGGTACTACACAACAAGCGTTATTTTCATTCCCGGACCTTCCAACTAGAAAAGCAGATGTATCACAGCTCAGAAATACAACCATACTAATTTAAGATGGACCGGATACGGTTATTTCTAACCTAACATCGCGAACGGAAAACATAACAGTATTCAGACACGTTGAAAAATGTACAGGGGATGTTTCAAGAGAGACATAGGTTAGTTCACCCCTTTGGTTTGTTGCTTTGAGTTGGCTATTTTTACGCCGCGGTCCAGACGCCAGGGAAGCTGGAAAGTGGGAGCAGACAGACGTGAGGGATGCTGAGAGAAATCTGTGTCCCCTGCTTGGTTTGTCAACTACCCCTACCACTTTTAAAGTCTGTCTGGTTTTGTGGACTGACACGCATTGCATTATGGGAAAATGTGCTACTTCACTGAGCTATGGCATAACTAGACTCATCCTAACACTGTTAATATTAAGATGAATTAGCAGTTTTATTCTCTGGGAAAAATATAATTGTTATTTTATAACGTTTCGGAGTACCACTGAGGATAGGCAAAGTATATTCCAATGAAAACCTGGTATCTATCTAAAGGTCTACATGGTTTTACAACCCAGAAGACCAACACCGACATTTTTATTGTCGTAAGAACCTCAGACCTCGTGCAACTGTGGGATTATTGGGTAAATAATTATTTGAGAAGAAAGTGGCAGTGGATTTTTTTAATGTAGTGTCTCAACACATGTCTAATTTTATTTCAAATCATGTGGAGACATTAGATCTAGTAACAAAGCCTTCAATATTACCCTTTTTCGTCTTGAAATAAATTGTAGATACTGAGCACATAAATAAAAATTCAGTCAATCTGTATTCACCACTCAGGATAAAAAAAATATTAAATTGTTTGGAAAAAGTTTTACAGGATTTAAAGTATTATTAACTTCTAATCGCCTAAAGGAATAACTGATCTTTCAGTTCCGAATAAGGCGGTGAATTTCTTAACCAGCTGGGTGACTATTAGCTTCTCAAAAAGCACAACGTTCCATAGATTTACAAAACGTTTTCTCATGTGAGATCTTGGCAAAAGTTGTGAATATTTTGTGATAATAAGCTATTCATTGTCTTCATAACCACTGTCACATCATTGTGTCATGCTTAAGCAATATAATGATACATATGTTTTACGTCATCGTAATTGCATGGTTCGTTCCTATAATCAAGTATGAGAGCATGTTTTAAAGACTCAGAAACACGCCATTGATATTTTCATGGAACTTACTGTATGTAAATTACTTCTGGCGAAACCTAAGCACGTGCTATAAAAAGTATGCATCTCGAAGAGTAGTTTATAAATGCAGGATAAGACGTACTTAGATCACACGCGACCCAACCCTTACGTCTCTAAGCTGAGTAAGTTGAAGACAGAAAAATTGTGCAACGAGAATGACAAATGCGATAATTTTAAAAGCGTGAATTCTTAATTTTTGTAAAACTTCGTAAAATCAAAAGGAAAAAAAAGTAAAGCTTTCCCGCTTTGGGGGGGGGGGAGGAGAGAGGTGGTATAGCTCCTACTCATTCTAAACCTCGACGCTTCAAGGGAGTGAGTGGTCAGCGTCACTCCCCGACAGCACTTCACACCCGGGAAAGGACCCAGGAGAACTTGGCCAAGATCAGATATTTGACATGAAACACAAAATTATATTCAAAAATTAATAAGGAACCGATTAAATTTGGGGAATACTTAGCACCATCTTACCACCTGCTAAAATAACCAGGATATGCAACAACTATAATTTTGCCTGTTGTTTTGTATGGATATAAATCGTGGAATCTGCCCATAAGGAAAAAAAACTATTATAAAGTAATAAGTACTTCCAACAAATAATCCTTCTTTAAAAGCATTTCATGAAGTTTCACTATTCTAAGGAACCTT